CAGCCTTTCCAGTATTGTGAATGTCTTGATTACCACAGAAATTCTCACTGCATATAAAGATCAGAAATTTAAGGTTTATGTGGAATATCATGTATTTAGTCTAATAAAGCTCCTGATGGCTTTTCATAGTCGATTAGGACTAGGGGTACCCGTTCATGGATCTTGTGAAGAGGTAGAACGCCTCGGTTGGTGAGGAACTGGGAGCTTACTCCAGGCCCCTTTCTGGGAGGCCAGTGTTTTCCTGGCCTGTGAACATTTTGTGTTTGGCCTCTTTTACTCCACTTTTTCACTTCGTACACTTAATCCAGGTGTTTGCATGGTTCGTCCCACGCACAGGCACAGAAATGGGTTCTGCTACAAATTCTGTCTCAAGACTTTGTTGACAGTGTATTTGGCAGGGCTGGAGTTTACTTGACTTTCACCAACCACAAGAATATTGCAGCAGTGATTTTAATTTAGCTGGTAGCCTACTTGCTTTCAGAAGTGCAGGCACCTACCCAGCCTGTTTACTAAAGATTAGGAACATTGACTCTGGAGAAAAATCTCACTGAGTGTTGACCTGAAGCTTGAAGATTGATTAATGAAAAGCAAGTCTTTCAAAATGCAAAGGCCTTGCCAGGTGTGGTGGCGCACGCCTGTAATCGCAGCACTCGGGAGGCTGAGGCAGGAGGATCACTGTGAGTTTGAGACCAGCCTGGGCTACAAAGTGAGTTCCAGGTCAGCCTCCACTACATAGTGAGTCCCTGTCTCAAAAAACAAAACAAATAAACAAAAAATGCAAAGGCCTTGCCTCCCACCAGAATAATGGTCATGTTATGAAGTGTGTAATTTGCTCACTATATGGTTGCTAACCTCTCATTGTTGCTTACTGGCTTAGGAGGGTATGTTTCCTTAGTTAGCATGTCTTCCTGAAAATGTTCACAGGGCTCGGTTAGAGACTAGACTCTGTCGAGAATGCAGCGCCCAGCCCAGTCTCGTGTGTCACTGAAATAGGTGGCGTTCTTTCCTAACGCTGACAGCAGAAAGCATTTCACATGGTCTCTACTAGGTTAAGTATCTGACCCATTAATGAAAATGTTTGTTTTCAAGACATGGGAAATTCCGTAAAATTAAGATTAGGCGTAGCATAATGTTTCAAAAATGTTGATTTAACTTTTTCACTTTAATTACCTTAATTTTAAATAAGTGAGTTTGAAAGACATATTTACTCTCTGGGCTTCTATAAGTTTAAAAATGAAATAGCACAGAAAATTCTGTTTTGGTCATATATAAATTTCTCCAAAATGGTAGATGACTATAATTGTGGATTTGACTTAGTTTAATTATTAATGCTTTTGGAGAGAGATACTAGACTTTTATTGCTTTTTAAACATTGAAATGTAATGAGTGAATTGTCGTAAATTATACAAATGCCCTTCTTTCTTTTCTGGTTTTAGTGGCAACTGCACCCCCTGAGAAGGTAATTTATTCATTATTTACAAATCTCTTTTTTTCAACTTTCAGATGTGTTTTTTATAGAATATGTGTGGAATTTTAGAATTTAAATGCACTAAGTTGTGTATTATGCATTGTTTAGTTTAAGAAAATACAGCATTCAGTCAAGAAATGTTTCTTGAGCGCCTGCTAAAAGACTTGGCACGATCCTCAGTGCCAGGAAAGTAATAGCCAACAAATTAGAAAAAAACAAAACAAAGCAAAAAACAAACAAACAGAAAAGTTCTTAAGGAACTTAAATTCTAGTGGGAAGAGAATGGTGGGAATTAATGGAATCCAGGACTTAAACAGAATTTATTGAGTCAGTTGATTGCTGGGACCACCTATGTGAAGAAAGGCTTTCACATGTTTATATAATTGGGTATTGTTGAGTGCATATAAAATAATTGAGTGGGGCCGGGGCTTTATCTCAGTGGTTCTCCCGTCTGCCTCATAAGCGCAAGGGCATGAGTTCGATCCCCGGTACCAAATAAAATAACTGAGTTGCTTCCAAATTCAACCAACATGTAACATGACGATTTGAATTGATGTGGAATAAAACTAAGCATCAGTCAATACTTGAGCATTGTTTCTCAGAAGATCTAGAGAATTTTTCTTACTCCTCTTTGGTTTGTGGGTATACAGTGAGACTCTGAATGGTGAGACTTATTAGGGAATGTAGATATTTGCTAGATTAATTTTATGTAATACAGTATTGTGTCTTCTCTGGATCTTGCTTGATAAAATAAAAATAGGTAATTATTAAATATTTATATATTCATTATTCATTTGGTTGGCAAGAATATTAGAATTTAGATGGGGTTAGGGGCCAGGCATTTAGCTCAGCGGTTCGGTGGCCTGCCTTGCAAGCGCAAGGACCCGAGTTCAATCCCCAGTACCAAAAAAAAAAAAAAAAAAAAAAAAGAATTTAGAGGGGGTGATATATAAACTATTAGAAATAGTTTTAAAAGTTGTTAGTTTATATCAGTGGTATATTGGTGGTATTTGGGAAGAATATTGTAGCTTAAGAAGTGAGCAAGTCAGCTGCCTGACACGGTAATCGTAAATCAGTTTTTTCCTCTGTTTATGATTGAGTGCACAGTAGCTCTCATTAAGAATCTGAAAGAAATCCTGAAATTTTCTTATATAATTTAATTGCATTTTGCTTTCAGAGGGGGAATAGGAAAAAAGGCTTTCGCAGTCTTTGTGACTGTGAGACTTTGCAAAGATCTCATGTTGATCATGATGGGTGCAGAGAAAGCAGGGTCCAGGGGTGGGGAGTGTGAGTGTGTAGCAAAAAGACAACAAGGCTTATGAAAGTCTTGGTTTGAAAGAAAATGTGGGGCTGCTTTTGCAAGGCTTAAAATACCAAGTGACAGGGTGGTATGTGGGAAGATATAATAAATCCTAGTGTTTCTGGAAGACAAATCCTGGCTAACCCAGGTAGAGAGATGGAGTTAGCCTGAGAGGCCATTGGATTATTTCAGTAAACTAAGTGTGACAGTCCAACAGTAATTGTGGGGACTGTGGATGTGGAAAAGGGTGAACAACTATAAGGAATGTGCAAACGGTTTGGAATGAGGAATAAAAGGGAACTCGAAAGGACTTTAAATGGAATGGATTGATGAGCATAGTGTGCAGTGACAGAAATGATGATGTTGGAAAGCCAGCCCTGGATGATTTTGTGTGGAGTTGAATTTGAGGAATCTCTAGAGTATCTAAACAGAGTTACCCTAAAGCATTCGTGCTTACAAAATGGGGCTTTGGAAGTATTCAGGCAGGCTGTCCATTCTAGAAGCAGGAAAGAGGAGATAATTGAGGCTAGGAGAGAGAATAAAAGGCCAGCAGAGGCCAGGAGTTGAGCATTCTGGAAGATGACAGTGGTTCAAATATGTCGGGAACGTGTAGGGTAATGGTTAGCAAGGAACTTGATGAATACTTTTAATGAAGTTTTGTTATGAGTTCCCGGCCCCATGCCGGTGTGGATGAAGGCTCAGACACTTCTCTAGACTAATTGTTCAGTTGGCTCGAGCCCTAAGGAGCTCTAACTGGGAGCAGAGCTATGGTGATGGGTTGTTTCTTTGCATAACATCCAGAGGACAGGCATGGATGACAGAAAGTGTTAGCTTGTGTACTTTTCTATGATCAAGCTGGGAAATCCATTTCATCTGCAGTGTGATCAGTCATCTAGTGGGGCAGAGTCACATGTGAATGAGGTGTGGGTGTAGCTCTCATCGGGGTTAGTGTTGCCTCCTTAGAGACCAGATGTGGGCCGCACGGCCAGTCATTGCTTTAGAGGTCTGACTCTGAGCTCTGTGGAAAGGATGAGGTGTTCTGTGGGTTAGCGCTGCTGAGGAAACGCAAGAGCTTGCCATGGGAACAGCACAACCGGCTGGGGCTTTTTATGTCACACAATCATACTGGTTTATATCTAATGTTCCATGATACTTCTTTGTCTTTCTAAGAGTATGATTAATTAAATAAAAATAGTGCTATGTCTGTCTCTCTGTCTCTGTCTCTGTCTCTGAAATACCACCACCCAGGAAATACCTTCATTAGAACAAGAGAAAACCAAACTTGAGCCTGGCCAACCCCAGCTCTCCCCAGGCATTTCAACTTTTCATTTGCATCCCCAGTTTCCAGGTAATCTGTGATCTGTGTTGACTTCTGCTCTTTTCTGAATGAAAGCATAGGAATTTTTGTGTCTTTGATTTTATTATCGGAATTTGTAATTGAATTAAATGTAAAAATGCACACTTAAGCACAATCATATGCTTATATAATGCTAGTGCAAGTATAGCAGTCTAAGTATTACAGTGGGAAAGAACTTTTTCACTGTCTTCTGTGATCAGGAGTGGTATATATTATCTGATTACTGAAAGTCATTATTTGATCTGTGGTCATTTTCTGAACTGCTGTCAGACGTTGTTGCTGAATATTGAAACCAGAATTATACATTAATACTTCAAGTTTTCGGGATCCATAATAGTTCTTTATATCCAAGAGCTATTATGATATATTATTAGATGTGCTTAGGCTTGCATTTTGAAATGCAATCTGGGTGCACTTAACAGGCTTTAATTTTCTCTGTGTCCTTCACTTCCTCATACAGTGGTAATTGAAAAGACATCACCTCCCATGCCTGTGGAAGTAGCTCCTGAAGCTTCCACGTCAAGTGCCAGCCAAGTGATTGCACCTACTCAAGTGACAGGTCAGTGCGGTATCCGCCATGCTGTGGATTACATGGAAACATGGGTCTGGATTGCATTTAAAATGTGATATCAAGTTGTTTATGGCTATCATAGTAGCAAATATTTGGAGACTGTGTGAGTATTATTTTAGAAAGGGGCATGCCTGAATTATCCATATGCAGTGGAACATAGAATAGTTTCATTGCTTTAGAAGAGTAATGCCCTGAAGAAATGTTGATGTCTTGACTTTTACTAAGATGGGCAGAACATGATATAATGACTCCAATTTTATTTTTTGAATATCTGCAAACACAGAAAAGGAGACAGAAAATGCTTCGGTATTCACCCTTTCTCAGCTTTGTTCTTCAGTATGACCTATGTTTTCAAAATTCTTTGTAATAAACATATTTCAGTTAGTAGTTTAAAATTACAAGGATGTATTCTTTTTGAAACCAATGTAAAAATCTTAAGTGAGAATGTCCTTAATGTCTAGGAGGTCTTATACATATGCAAGAAATTGATCATTGGTCACTGAGAAATGGAAAAAATATATATATACTCAGATATTTCACAGAAAAAAAAAATACCAAGGAGAATATATTGGAAAATTTAAACTTTACTAGTAATCTAAAAAATGAAAATTTAGACAGGATAATACTTTCTGTTCTTCAAAGTAATATTTACAATTTAATAAAACTGTTTTTATTACGGTGAAATTGAGACTCTCACATGTTTGCTGTGAGGTTTTCCAGGGAAGCATAACCAGCAGTATCTACAGATACGGAGGTGTAGACGTCAGCTCTGTCAGCAGAGATTGGCTTACTGGATGGCAAAGGGCTGGGGCCAGGGATCTGGCTCATTGATTCTGCTGCCTGTCTCGTGGGCACAAGGGCCTGAGTTCGATCCCAGGTACCAACAACAACAACAATAACAACAACAAAAAAATGATACCAAAGGGCTGAGACTAAGGGAGGCAGTGATGTAACCCAGGTGGGTGTGGTCCCGGGCATTGGGGCACTGGGGCCCCATGCAGGAGAGGGGAGCAGATGCCCCTCAGATTGGCCTTCTGTGTCTTTTTGTCAGATTTGGGCCCAGCCCTCCATGCACAGGGGTGAGTGTGATCTTCACTCAGTCTGCCCATCCAAATGCTGATTTCTTCTGGAGACACCCAGCAGGCAACCTAGACATAATACTTTATAAGTCATCTGAGCATCCATTAGCCCGGTCCAGTTGACTCAGAAAATGAACCATCACAAAATAAAAACTTGGTCAGCTTTTCTGGAAAGCTCAGGCTTGCTTGAAAATATGTATAAATGTTCAGAACTTTTTTTTTTTTGTACTGAGAATCAAGCCCAGAGAGCACTGGCTATATCCTTAATCTTTTTTATTATTGTATTAAGACAGGACCTTGCTAAGTTGGCCAAGCTGGCCTTGAACTTGGAATTCTTCTGCCTCAGCCTGCCCAGGGCTGGAATGACATGTGTGCACGCTTGTGCCTGGCTATGTGCAGAACTCTTGACCCAGTAATCCTATTTCAAGATAGCTTTTTAAAGGAGATAATATGCCCCAAAATATGATATTAGTTTATATATGTGGTTACTTATCACAACACAATATACAGTCGAGGAAAAATTTAAAAATACATTCAGCTATAGAGAAATAGATAATTGTTGCATCTTTACATTGGAACATTATGCTGCCACTTTGAAGAATTTTTATTGAAGTCTATCTGGAAATGGCCACAAAGTATGGGTACATTTAAGGTGAAAGCTATAAAAAATGAAATACACAGAGTATTATATCAATTATATATTTATAATGTATACATAATGTTAGGAGAATATATACCAGATATTACCAGTGATTATTTTTTAATGAGACCTGAGAGGTTTAGATATTATTTTGTTTTTAGAATATTTTGTATTTCCCATTTGAGTGGACAGATACTTTTAGAGTCAGAAGAAAGGACCACTACAATATGCAGACAGGAATAAATCCTAGAGGTCTGTTGTTCAATATGGTAACTGGTTAATAAGGGTGTAGTATATTGTAATTGTAATCTGTTGCAGTAACTATGTCTTGTATCTGTGAAAAATGCTAAGAGAATGAATTTAAGTATTCTCACCACTAAGCGGCCTATCAGAAGGCTTAACTGCCTTCAAGAGACCCTGTAGGACATTAGGAGCACCTGATAGAGGACCCTTCAATCTCTCTCAGGACAGTCCTTCCCCAACAACTTACGCTGCTTTTCCAATGGAGTTGTTCTTGAATGTTCAATTTTAAGCTAAGTTTTCAAAAATGTGATTGTACATCTCTTAGGCACTTGCATGGAGACATCAGCCTCAGAAATCACCTCAGGAGCTGAGGGTGGTGGCGCACACACCTAGTGAGTTCAGGGCCAACCTGGAATACAGGGAGAGCCTGTCTCAAAAAGCAAGCAAGCAAGCAAGCAGCACCTCCATCCAGGGGTGGAATGGCAGGTGACTTGGAGAGACAGGCGCAGTCTGGGTTCGGTGGGGCCTTTTCAGCTACTTCAGGGACAGAATCAAGGCCTCTCTGGACTCAGTGCCACCCCCCAAATGCGTGAATGGGTGGCAGCCACTCTTTGGTTTGACAGCTAATACTGAGTAAAGTTCTGTAGAAATGTGAGCCATTCTAAGTACTTTTGGAGTGGTACCGAAATGATAGTGATTTTTAAAACAGGCACAACTAGAGTTGCTATTCTGTCTTCTGGCTCCCTTCATCAAACACATATGTAAGAGACAAGGGCACAGGCAGGGTGTAAAGCATGTAGTTTGCTGTCTTGTCAGCAAGGATCTTCTGTTTCCCTCAGTGTTAAGAAAAATTGCAGTGTGACATTACAGTTCACTAGTTCTTTCTTCAATAAATACTGTATTTCTGCTTTCCAGCATGAAGGTAAATTTAGTTTTGAAAGGTATTACTGACTTCACTGGACCAGCCTCTTGCAAACTAGTTTTGTTGGAGATTCAGTTTGGCCCAAGTCAGTGCGGCTCCCTCGTTCCAATGCAGCAGTGGGACGGTACAAATGCAAGTTTCTGGGCTTCTGCTGAACTGTAGAGCTGATTGGAAAAAAAAAAAAAATGCAAGTAACCCTGCTGGGTGAGGTTGCTGGAGGATCGTTTACTTTGAGTGTGGCATTTGTTTTGGGGTAAAATCTGCCATGGCATGCTTGAGGCGCAAATATTTCCTTCCAGGAAACAAGTGATGCTGGATCGTTTTTTCATGTAGCAGTTGTAGGTACTTCCCCTTCCCCTAATAAGAGTCTTTCTGAAAGAATCTGGGAAGAAAACTATAAATAGAGATTCTTGGAACTGAACTGATAGCAGATTTAGAGCTACACCCTGAACAGGGATCTACCTTAACATAAGAATAGTCTTTTGTATCAAATTGAGATCAGAATGTGGCTGATCCCATTGGTTTAATTCCCAAACACATAGATGTAAGCAACCATCTGATCACTTCTCTCAGGAACGTCATGTAATTTCCCCAAGAAAATAAATGTCATTTGTTACTGTTGTCACCATATTTGAAGAAGATAAAATAAGGAAGTCTAAAATAACATAATCAGCTCCATGTTGCTCCGTGATGATATCGTTATGATGGCGAGATTGGAGTAGTCTTTTTAGATTTAGCCAGACACAGTTGGACAGGCAGTAATTATGAAGTGAGCTGCATATTTGCAGGAAGTAAGTGTGATATTTTCCCACTCTTAACAGTTGACTTGGTGGCTTGCGATGTTATTGACATACTCTTTTCAAATAAATTACACATTTCAGCATATAAATTCTTGATTTAGTATAGCGTTTTAATAGCTGAAGGATAGGTTTGGAAAAATCAAACCTCCGTTTCTCTTGACAAATATTTACAAAGTGGAAACATCTGTTTGAATTGTGGGACAATTTATGCTCATCTGGGGCAGCTAGGAAGCCAGGGCATTTTTGTAACCCTTTCTGTGAGTTCACATTTGATGCTTTGCTCCGGCTTCCCCCCGGCTCCTCCATAGCCCTGTGGACCAGCCAAAAGTTACTCTTTGTCTTTTATGACCGCCTCACGGAAACCTCTGTCATTATCATAGCTCAAACATTTAAATAACTATTTGCTCCTCTGATTTTTCCACACGCTCATAATTGACCCCTTCAAAAATGCTTGTCCTGAACCATATTCCTAGTGTCATTACAGTCTCCAAAAGCTATTTATACTGGCAGAAAATGAACTTTTAAAAAAATGTAAAATCATCGTGCTTTAATATTCCAGACTCCATTTTCATGCATTCATCTGTTCACATGTTCATTCATTCATTGGATTAATCCCTCGAGGAAGATAAAACCTAAAGGTCAGTGTATTCTTTTTCACATTTTGCCCAAAGCTTTCTTTTCCATTTAATTTTAGAAAATACAGATACCAAACTATTAAATCTGCCGTTGGTCCTGGGATAGAGAGCATTTGGCTTTCTGAATTCTTAAGTGAATGCTCACAGAGAGCTAGAGCAAGGTGTTGGCCCTGTGAAGGCCAGGTTGTTTCAGGGCACACACAGTACAGGAGGGTAGAGCCGTTCATGAACTGAGGCCCTCTGGGTAGGCATAATGAAGGACTCCTGAAAAATCCCAGTGGGGGCCTGGTGCTTGCTGGTCTCCAGGGGAAGCCAGCCCCGCTGAAGAAGATAAACAAAGACGCTCCCATCACCAGCATGTCCCTGAGGCTGGCAGTTAGTGCTGCTTGTGGGTGCTGTGCCCTCTGGTGTGTCACAGCCCTGTCTCCAGAGCTTACAGTGACAGTGTGATGAAAAAAAGTGTCTGTTTCTCCATGAACTAACCCATCATGGGCGGACAGGTTCATATGACTAAATGTGTGTGGCTCTTAGAAAACAGAAAGCGTATTGTCTTTGCCCTAAAACAGAACGTGCAGAGAGCTTTCCCTGTTCTTCAAGACAGCATCCTCGGGACTCTCTTCTGTACACTAACCACGTACTTGAGCCTGAAAACCTAGGAAGAAAAGAGGGGAAACTCGGGAGAGAACACAGCAGACAGGTGTTAAACTTTTCAAGATAGGAGAGGCACTCATTTGTTTTCTTAAAGAAAAAAAGAAACTGATGCTGCCTTTTAGATGCTCTTTCTGTCTACCTAGGTGAGTGGAGTCCTGCCTCACAAATGAACAAAAGAGATCCCTGCAGTCAAAATGTTGAGAATTACAGTAGTTAATCACTTAGGTAAAAATGGAACAAGCAGTGTAGATAGAAATCAAGTGTTTTAGAAATGTCCCTTTCCTCCTTGGATGTGCCTCCTAGTACCCTCTAGTGGTGTCTCGGGGGCATTTTCATGCATTTGTTCAGAGGCCAGGCACAACCGACATTTTTAGGCCTTGTCACTGTATACTTAACTAGAGATGATTAAGTGAAATTCCTCAACATTCATCAATATATTTCAGCTTCACAGTTTCTATTTAAGGTGCTGGCTAGGAAGGGAAGGCTATTGTTAGTCATTTTATTTCCTGCAACTAAAGAGTTAGAATTCTTTGAATTCTCCCTTAGAGCCAACTCGAGAAGATTATGAGCTCAGATCAAGCTGGACTACATAGCAAGTTCAAGGCCAGCTGGACTCCGTAGTGAGACCCTGTCTGAAAAAATAAAACAAAAAAATGTGTTAGCAGACTGTGGCATAGGGATGTATCACATTTGAATTAAGCATCACATATTTTTTGAAGTCTTGTTCACGTGTGTGAAAATTCCACTCAAAAGTTATAACTTCAGAATGACAAGTGAATATTTGATAGTCAAGAAATTGGTACGTGTGGGAATGAGGTAGTGACTGCTAATTGAACCTTTCATGTAAACCCAAAGATTTATAGCCTTTTAATTTTTTTCTGAATCCTGGCTCCGAGTACTGTGTGTTAATTTGCCTTCTATTGAACTCATTTTCTTTTCTTTCTTTGTTTCTTTTTTTTTTTGGCATTGGGAATTGAGCTCAGGTCCCTGTGCTTGCAAAGCAGGCAACAGAACCACTGAGCTAAATCCCCAGCCCTTCATTTTCTTTTCTACACAGGTAAAATTTCTTTTCTGTTTTTAAAAAGTGGCAGAGAAGAGTAGGAAAGATAGGAAAGTCAATAATTGCAAAGAAAACCAAGAAATCTAAATATGAATCTTTATAGCATTTACCTATGATTCAGAAAAGACAGATGTATTTCTCATACTGTTTCTTGAAGAAACTCCTATAGAGAAGAACGTTCTTACCTAAAGGTCTGAAAGTATAACCTGGTGAAGACAACCTTGTACCTTCAGATTTTGTAGGGCATAGAAATGCCCTGAGAAGACTTTTCCAATTAGGAAAGTAGTGTAGTAATTAAATGTTCTCATTGTATACATTTTTTAAAATGCAGAAAAATATGAACAAGAACATACCAATCTCCAAATAGTAAACTATTTTCTTCCAATATTGTTTTCTGTGTTTTAGTGTAATTGAGATCATGTGTTACAATATAGCTTTTGCTTCTGTATTTTTTAACAAATAAGCATTTTTCCTGTCCTGTTAATGGATATATTTTCTGTGCTGTGCCCATCAAAGTTCATTGTTCTTTGTTGTTATTGCTGATCATTTAAGCATTCATGTTAATCAACCATATATTTAGCCTTTTGGGTTTTCTTTTTCTAAAATTTGATAGAATATTGTCTTTGAACAACTTTAGCTTTCTGATAATTAATTGGCATAAACTGGCTCAGAAAAGATACCTGTAATTTGCAAATACACCATTTGGTATATATTTCTCATACATTCACATTTCTCATAACTTGCATATGTAGTCTTAAAGTCGCAATACAGTGAATGTTTTATGAAAAATGAGGAATGTGGTTTTGGTTTTGGAGAGCAACCTCAACCCCTGTTTAGACCATTTCCAGTGTGGAGTGCTGTTTTTCATGTCCTTTTTTGCAGAATGCATAGTGAGTTATTGGTGACAGCCGCCCACCTGTGTTCACATTCAAACCACAGAACCCTTTAATAAAGCTGTGCTCTCACTTTATCGTGCTCAGGGGCACCAGTCTGCTCACCCCCAGGGGTGCCTTGGTGTCTCGTCTGTGCCAGGTTCTCCTTTAAGCCTGGCTTGTTATCTGATGGCAATGTTAGTAGCCCAAGGTATTACCAATACACATGTGCTGATCTCGATTATACTCTATTCATAAATGACTTCAATATGATCACCAGTAACAGAATAATGATTTTTTTAAGCCCATATAATGTGCCAGGCATTAGACTACGTGCATTATTTAGGTTTTCTCTTGGCAGTCTGATAACTTTGAAGTTGGAGCTCTGATTATTTCTACTTACACTCGTGGAAAAATGAGACTCAGAATGGCTAAGTAGCTTGCCCTGTGATAGAAAGCTTTAAAGGGCAACACGATTTGTGCCAGTTCACCTCAGAAGGCCACTGTGAGTCCTGCGTCCTTTCGGTATGGAAGCCCTTTCTCATGGGCTCTGTGAGCCGCCTCCTTGTGGTACGTGACACCTGTGTGTATGTGGAGTGAGCTCACACAGGTTGCCTTCCCAACTAGGCAAGGAGCAGTTTCCATACAGGCATCAGCAGGAGAGTAAGGAAGGGATTTGGAAATGGAATCTGTTTTACTCATGTAAATAAAATAGGCTCATATTGAAATTGGCAAATTAAGATATGTCTAGAAGTTCTGCTTTCATTAGAAGTGAAAAGGCATTTGGAGGGGGCTAGTGAGAAATTTTCAAGGAGTTTGGATAGAGTTGCAATAGAGATTTTGCCTGCTAATGGATGGAAAATAGCATGGATTTATTTCTTCCTTCCCTCCTCTTTCCTTCCCTTCCCCTTCCCTGCCTGTTACGTATTTCTTGTCAGGAGAAATAACACAGTGATTTAGACTCCCGTCATCTAAAGTGAAGTAGAATGGTTAGAGACTCTGATCGGCCATGTTGGAAGTTTTATTAGGAATTGATTTCCTTCTGACTTTCAGTGTGGCTTCTTTCTGAGTTTATACACACTCTAATTCATCCTAGAGATTGTTTTTTAGGAACTGTTGATGATCTTGAGTGTGACTGATCAGTACAAAGTAATCACAGGAATCTATACGGGATTTCAGAGGTCAGCTTTGTTCAAGTGCCTACCTGGCAACTTTTATTTTTATTTATTTTTTATTTTTTGCCACTTAGGAAACACAAGTATTGGTTTGCAACTAGAAATGGAGTATTTTATTTCTGTCTTTTGTTCACGTTACTTTATTTACTTTTAAAGAAATCAATGAATGCACGGTGAATCCTGGTATCTGTGGAGCAGGACACTGCATTAACCTGCCAGTGAGGTACACGTGTATATGCTACGAGGGCTACAAGTTCAGCGAGCAGCAGAGGAAATGTGTTGGTAAGAAACACTCGAGTAGGCATAACGATCAAACATAAAACGTTTACGCAGTTAGAACTCTCTTTTCTCAGAGTCTTGAGAAAATATTACTGTAATTTTAAAAATGCTGTAGCTAAGGGACCTCAAAAAGGGGGGTTGCCAAACTTCTGGTATTCTCTTTTTTTTTTTTTAGTCAGTGCTCCTTGTTTTGCCAAATATAATACATTTATAGAAAGGTAGAATAATTTACAGAAATTTTTCAGATAAAGTGATTAAAAATAAGAGCTCTAGAAATAGCTGCCCATGAACATATTTAGCAAAAGCAAGTTAATATATGCTGCAATAAAGAATTCACTTCAGTACGTGAAGTCTGATTTCCAAAATAGATTTCCAAATGGAAGTCCATGTGAGCTGCCATGAGAGTATTAATGCACTTGTAAATAAGGGATCTCATATACACGTCTCTGGAATGAAAGGTACCTCTGAAAGAGATATAATAGAGGTAGGTAAATCATCTTAACAACTTCTTTTTAAAAGAGGAAAATTAAGCTCTTAAGTTGTAAGACATTGGCAAAGTAAAGCAACAGAGGTACTTACCTAGTAATACATTAATATGAGCAATTTATACATGTAAATAATGTCATCCACCTGCTCGGTTACGTGTTTTTTTCCTTTGCCTTTGCCTACTGTGTATAAATTCGCCTGTAGAACTAAGTAGAAAAATCAGTCAAGATGGCCTAATCCAGCTCCACCCTGTGCCCTGCAGAGGGGTCTCTGTCGTAGTGGCAGTGGATTTTAGTGTGGACACAACCTTAGTCATCCAGTGTCTGTGATGACCAGAAATCTGTCTCTTTGAAATAGCAGTGCCGTGGTTTTCAGTCTCAGCCTTTGAAACCATATGCAGTAAACTGCTGCTCTCTTCCCCATAATCATCCTTCCAGTGCTTGGGGTAAAAAGCCATGCCTCTTTCCACTGTTCTGTTCATTTCCAAAGCTTTGTGGTCCCAATGAATAGTTTGCTTTTTAGAACAAGGACTAAGTTCTTGATACACAGCACTAATCTTTTTCCATGTTTTTATTTTAAACAGATATTGATGAATGTACTCAGATCCAACACCTCTGCTCCCAGGGACACTGTGAAAACACAGAGGGAAGTTTCCTGTGTATTTGCCCAGCAGGCTTTATGGCCAGCGAGGAGGGCACTAACTGTATAGGTAATGACGGTGCTTTTGGTTTGTGGGTGCACAGATCGGGGGTTTGGGTTCCTGAGCGCCTCATCAGGGCCCATGCTTGGTCAGATAATCTAGACTTTGTATTAAACACCTGCTACAGCAAAGCATTCTGCTAGGCACTGGGAGATACAAAATCGGTTTTTCTTCTCCGGCATGTTGGAAGGAAGAGTGTCAGAAACATGTTAAACAGTGTGATTGGGGGGCATGTCGAACAAATCAGGGGGATGGCAGTGGAAACCAGTTACTTTGCCATCACATTTGAACTATGCTAGGAGAGGTGTGAAATGATATTTTGGGACGTAACTCTTGACGGTGTTTTCTGCTTGGAGCAGATGTGGACGAGTGCCTGCGGCCGGATGTGTGTGGCCAGGGGCACTGTGTCAACACCGTGGGCACCTTCCGCTGTGAGTACTGCAACAGTGGGTACCGCATGACCCGGAGAGGCCACTGTGAGGGTGAGTTGGCCACGCGGAACAGGACACCGCCGCCCCTGCCCACGCTGAGCACATGTGATGGTGTGGTCCAGGGCTGGGTCTAGACTCTGGGCAGCTCGTCTGGCCCTTGTTTTCCTCCCCACTCTGTGTGACATCGGCGTCTCCAAGCTCCACCCTGCTGTCCAGAGCCACAGCTCCTGTGCCTCCTTTCAGTGGCTCTGTCTGGGTTACTTTCCTTCTGATGTTCTCATTATTTTTCACCTCAGTATCTGCCTTCCCTGGTATTTAGAGTGAGATCATTGTAGAACAATTAATTGCAGAGTGTCCTAGTGCAAACTCAGACTTAATTAGAGTGTCTGGCCCATTCATCTGGAAACACGGTGCAGGTGTAACCATTGTTGATTTTTCATTTTTGACCTTTTCACTGTGTTGCATTCCTTGGTCTCCGCTGCCTCCTTTTGCACTTTTTCTGAGACTCGCTAGCAGACTCCCTTCAGCAGCACTGTCTGACTGACTCTGGGTCAGATTCCAACAGTGCTAGATAAAACATTATCATTAGTCACCCCCGCCATGAGCTTGTGCATCTTAGAAAAATGTTTTGGGAACTGTGTATAGCAGGTCCAGAATTACTTTTCAGTTAAAGTATCTGCTCATGGAAGTGACCAGGTTATGCACATTCTCCTTGAAATCACCATGACATTTTTTTCTTGAGGAAATTCATGAGCTGTTGATGCCGTCATCCTGCCATGAATACGTGAGGGCTGAGTGTGGGGTTCTCTGGGCTGGTGTTTGCAGAGCTTGCATGTGGGTGTGGTGCTGGGTCCTGGCTGCCAGCAGATCTGCCTGTTGTCTGATGTGGCCAGGCTTCTAGAGCTACTGCAGAGCAGACTGGGGGGACCAATCTGTGTTCAGCATGGTGCTTTTGTCCAAAACTCCAGTGACCCAGAGTTGGAGCAAGTGCTACTTAGACATTTTGTGGTAGCTCACACCTGCCTCTTCTGCTTTTCCCTTGCCTCTGCCCCTTGGGCTCTTACCTAGGAAGAAAGAGAGAGAGAGAGAGAGAGAGAGAGAGAGAGAGAGAGAGAGAGAGAGAGAGAGAGAGAGAGACATGTTATAACAATATATC